GATTTCGACGCGAACGACTTGGACGATGGCCAAGCCAGCAGTGGGTGAACATCGCAAGATGGTGATAGTGGTCCCGGACAGCCTGCATCGCCTCAAGCATGCTGGAAGCGGGATGAAAGACACGATAATATTCTACTATCGTCAGTTTCGTGATATTCATCTTTGGAAAACAGAGCTGTTCGATGACCAACTCGGTCACGTCGTCGTAGTTTTGCCGTCTACCGAGCCCAAGCCAGGAAGTTGGCTGCCTCTCGTGGCTGCTGAGGCCATGTGGCTTCAGTGCGGTTGTCGATTGTACTTGGTGGCTGGTCCTCGACCACAGGATTTGAACTCATGGTACCGAGTCGCGACTCAGGCAAGGTCGCATTTGAACGGGTTTCTGGAGGACCACATGGAGCTACTGCCCCAAGTCGTGGATAAGCTGATCGTCGAGAATGGACTGGTCGATCCTACCGCGCCATCTTATGCAGTAGCTGTGATGGAAGATAATCAGAGCGGGTGGTTGCCTGAGCGGCACGCGCGATTGTTTTATCAGTATCTGTCACGTCATTTAGCGCAGCATGTTTTGCTTGAGCCCCTACCCCCTCATGTGTTTCGTCCTCGTGGGAACGTTCAGACTGGAGAGCCGTCGACGTGGTAATCCCGCTTTGAAGGAGGGTGGAATCAGCAAGAGGGCGGCGCGTAAAAAGGAACAAAGGATCAGGCGCAGCCAAGCCCGCGCTGCCGCAAAAGCGCTGGAAAAAATGGGTCTGTTTGACCGAGTGGAACGGTCTTCACTGTAGGGCCCCGCGTGTTGAGTAATTGAATTATTGCGATATTTGTTGTGCATTTTTGAAAAGTGCGCGCAGATCAAACCGTGCGTCGACTAATTCACCATAGCGATACGCAGCGGGAAACGTCCAAAAAGTTCGATACCCTTTTTAGGATTTGGAATTGTTGAGAATTTTTGTCGTTAGTTTTGATTTTTCGGTTCCGCTGTCTGGTGCGATAGCACCAATTTGTTTGTTTGTTTTTTTTAATAAAACTTGTGTTTTCTAAGACTGTGCTTTGATCCAAACTGTGTTCACCACACTAGTGTCTTGCAAACTCCTTGTCGGCGGCCCTCCGCCGATCTCATGTTATTTTGATGCCTTAAGGATAAACTTTAGTAAATAATAAGTCTTCATACAGAAGGAGGGATTTAGCACCTTTCGCTGCGTGCGCTCGCTTACTGTCCGTGTGATTCACAGGAACGTTTGTGACCCGGTGGAGAGGAAGATAAAGGAGGCATTGGAAATACGAAGAAGGAGCCCACAAATTAACAACAGAGAAGAACTGCGAACGGCAGTGGGATTGCTCGTTACATAGTGAGATGAGAAAATGAAGGCATATGCGGAATGACCTATGCTAAATCGCAAGGTATAAAGTAATGCTACCCTACCCTTGCTAACCCTCATCTGACTGTCCCATTTCATTTCGAGTGAGCAGCTAGAGAGGTGAGCCCCTTTCACGTAGCCCTTTCCATCCTCATCCCACATCATTGCAGCAATACCTGGAGCTCCCGGGACCAACCCTCCCTTAAAGGAATCTTGCGCGGAAAAATCATGATTCTATTTCAGCCATAAATCACTGGCTTGAGACTCATTATCCACGATAATAGTGAAAAGAACTGAAGTATTGCTTTCGTTTTGATTAGAAATTCGAAAACTCGAAAAGGCTGCTACGCGTTCGAATTGCCCACGGACGTCTTTCACGAATGCTGGCGACGGGGATGCTCAAACTTGGTTCTTGGAGTGCATTCACTAGAAGCTCTTTCTGGCCTTCTGCTTCGTTGCATTCACATCTTACACTTCTACTCCATCCTATTCCATCGATCGATTTGTCTCCATCCGTATTAACTTCGTACCAATCCCGCGGCGCCGCTTTAATCGCGATTCTCCTCATTGCCGCGCTCTCGCGCCCTGGTTAACGATACCCCGGCCGAAAACGACAGATCTTTTCTTTCTCTATCCCCAATCAGCACGTCTCTGCCTCCTGGTCCTTCCGATTGTCCAATCTAAAACCTGTAGTTTTTGTGCGTTTGTTTGTCACAATAAACTTACGAAGTCTTCATACGTCGAACACTTGTAGGCTAAGTGGTCTCCAGTGATGCACAACTGACCACACCAAATGATTAGGACAAAGCCAGTTGCAAAAAGAATTTTCCCCCCCGCCGCCCGGCCAACGATCTTCTTTAACCCAAAATTTACGCTAACGTTCGTCAGTTATGTTGAGCTCTTTTTGTCATTTCCATGATAGCCTATTGTATTAAACTGCACATCTTGATGCATTGCTTGGATGGAATTGAGATGGTGACCTGAAGAAGGGCTTCTTTAGGTCCGAAAACACGCCTCGTCAAAATAATAACCATAGATTTTTAGTAGGTTAATAACTCAAGAACAATTGAAAAGAACAATATGTAAACTATGTTGAATGGGAGCCTTTTTCTCCTGCCAGATACGCGTCTTTTTTGTTAGGCAACAACTAGAAGGAATCAAAGTCCCGTCGAGTATCGCAGTGGCACTTCCAAACACACTTAATTCGATTATGTTTAATAGAGCATCCGAGGAATTCCTGATAGAGGATTTAAAAATCCGACCGTCCAAGCGAATCGAACTTTGTGCCCCAGCGAGCGATCGAACGACTGTGCCACGATCGAATCTAGTACCACAGCGAGTCGAACGAATACCTGAGCGATGTTCGAACTAACTACCGCCTCTACACAGCGACTCAAATTGATGGGGGGACCCACTTCAAGTAAGAAGTCCGCGCCACTTCAACACATGCCCCACACTGGTCAACATCCCGCCACTTTCAACAGCGATCCAGCTGTGATCGACCGGTACAGCTGTTTGAACTGTGGCGGCTTGCCTTTGAATGTTGTGTGGCCGGCAACCACTACTAGTTGATTGCGTTAGTAAGCCTATGATCGACTCGCTGGTACATCGTGTTCGACTCGCTTAAGGCGCAAGTTCGCTGTATCGCTGGTCATACGTTCGATTGGTCGTCTGGCGCATAACGCGTCCGATACGAGCGATTCGCCCCACTACGGCTCGCAATTTTGTCGCAACTAGATAGACATAGCCTTGATGGGTTAGGGTACCCTTCATTGCCAAATACGACCCATCATTTGTTTCTTCTGAATTCTCGACGTATCGATTGAAGCGTCACTTTGGCCACTCAGCTATCTTGTCGCGTTAGTAACAGTTGGACAGTGCGAGTGAATGCTGAATATAGATATACAGAGTGACGGCCCAGCTGTTTCCGGTGGGAGCCGCTACGAAGGTGATATATGCTTGACGTTTGTTGCTGAAGGGAGCCGGAGGGTGCTAACAGTAGTTGGTTGGGGGCAAAGGAACGTTGGCGCCGCAGCCCGCGCTTGGTTCGTCTCCTCTCCAAACAGCAAATAGTCGCTTCGACGACAGCAATCGACTGCAAGTGTCGCTACACGCGATTTGTGGAATTGGCTATCGAATCGTCGGAGCTTGAGCTCGTGCCAGTAATTACGTGATCGAATGTAGGTGCAGTCAGACCATGTCAACTCTTTGTCCACAATTGGACGTTTGGGAGAATAAACAGAAGGATTGACGACCGTTGTCATGTCTGAACGACCGACTATGACCTTCGCCCTTCAATTCCAATAGGCTATAATCCGGCGGGTGCTACTAGACAGAATATTCCGTGGACAATCATGCACGAGTAGCGCGAGATATGTAACGACTCCTAGAAACCAAGTCTCCTTTGAGTTCAGCAGAGACGAAATTGAACGTGTGCGCCGCCGCGCATCGGCGCCTACGCCATCCCCAGATCTCCCAACAATCTAGAGTTATAGGCAGCCCGGATTCGGAGTTCCATGTCTTGCTCGCATGAATAAGGAAGCCGCTGCAGTATTTTGCGCAATAATAAGAGAGAGGATCAAAAATTGTGGGATCACAGTACCACAACGCGCATCCGAAAAATTTTGCTTTAGGTTACCAAATCTGAGCTGTGTGAGGTCCTGACAGCGCGAACGACATGCTGCATTTACGCTTGAATTCTTTGAAAATATTTCTCCACCTTACTTTTCTCCTCTAGATGTGTTCCCCGCAGTTTTTGCAATGGAAGCCATGTTATTGCTCACGAAACGTCTTTATTTATATTTTATCATAATAAGATGGTTTGCCTGGCAATTTAGATCGTGTTCAGACGACCGGGTTCAGATGTAGCCACAACTCCAGGTACACACATCTACGCTTGTCAGTCGTTTTTGGGATATTGGCGCCAACCAAAAGTGTTTTATAAATAAAAATAGCCGAAAACGCTAATTGCTAGTCTCAAAAGCCACACCGTCCACCTGCCCTCATTTATCATATAAAATGACCAGCAAGGTATTATTATTTCGATTCATATCTCATTTTGGAATTCGCGTGCCCACGAGTTTCTCCTGACGTTCGGTGCTCTATCATGTAAAGACCTAGGTTATTGTCAATTGCTACTAGATGTATAACAAATTTTCATACGGAAGTGTTAGAGATGAGTTCGATACGTTCACTTATACCACACCAATCTATCACAGACAAAGCAATCTTCTTCAAAAGAAAAAATAGTAATTTTGAGACGGCCATAGGGACAGTAAAGGAGAATCACGCACAGGAATATCTATTCGACTTTTTAGCATGCTCGTAGCGCGCCCACGCTCCCGCACGAAGAAGGTTTATGCTGTGAGTTATGTATTATTCCAGCATGGCAAATGATTTACACACTCAGCCCTGATCTTATAATTACTAGAATATATTTTTTTCGCAAGAATAAAATACATAAATTCATTCAAACTACTCTTAGAACAATTTGAAGTAACGGAAGTAACGATGATGTGTTTAGATGGAGTTCTCGAATATGGCCTTCGCGCAGTCCCTGTCAGATAATAACGCACAACAACCTTTTTGCAGAGGATATCATCACTGTGATCCAAGCGAAAGTCGAGGAAGTTACCGAGCTTCCCGATGGTTGGCGAGAAGGTTGGAAATTTTTTTTTCTTCTCGGTGATTGCTCAAAGCATGAAAATTCTCCAAGGTGTTGCTTAAAGAAACAGTCCCAGCAGGGTTTTTACCTTCGACACTTGAAACCCAACTCGGTGTTGATTGATGCGCTAGATCTAGCCAAGAACGCAAGAAAAGTGATTGCTCAAAAAACTCACCCTGGAAAGCGTTCAGAAAGGGAGCTGGACGGCTTCGAAATGGGCGTGGTTGGAAATCAGCTGAGGCGAATGCAACCGATTTCCAATCACATCCCACTTCGGAGCCGCGCGCTCTCTTTCTAGCAGCTTTCTAAGGTGAGGTTTTTATACAATCACACTTCTTACGTACTTGGCTAGGGCTGGCGCATCAATCCACACTATTAGTGTCGAAGGTAAAAACTCTGCTGGGACTGTTGCTTTAAACTGTTTGGTTATGATCTCCAAGTCTGTTCAAGGCGTTCCTGCGATTAGATAAAATTTAAACAGTTCTCTGGAAAAGCGGCTTTGTGTGGTGGGGGGGGGGAGGCAAAATTGAAGTCGCTTCGCCAAGATCGCACATCATCAAACTCGTCGTCACGCAGGGTGCCTTTGATGAAAGTTTTACGGCAAAATATTCGCTGGGTGTCCCTCCTTAACAGAAGCAGCCCCTCCTTTACTACCCTCACAGCCTTTAGAATATGTCGTCATCTGCCATTACCGACGTACCGTCAACGATTCCACTCATAAAGAAGCGACAGCCTGCTTCAGATAATTCATCAGTTCGGTTAAACAACAATTGACGACCAAAGCACTTTTTAGTGGTTCTGAAAATATGAGACACTATCCATTTAATGCTGAAACCGCTTCCCATATGTTTACATACCACAACCGAGTGACACAAACACATGCGAAACTGCACTGGAGTACAATCATTATCTCCTACGCTACACCAATGCTTAATCGCCGGAAAATCATAGCAAAAATCTCCCTGTCCGCTTGCACAGGTGAAAGTTCGAACACTATCGAGAATAATTCCAGATTTTCCAAAACTGTAAAGTATCTACAAATGACTTGTTGCAGCGAGCAAATAACTCTTTTTTTGCTCAACCGCTGTTATTATTGAGCTTGGATAATTAGCGTACAGAAAAGGTCAGCTTTAATACACTTAAGGAAGAGCCACACCTTTATCACTGACGAAAGGCAATTCAGCACAACACTTTATCATCCTAAACTCACATAGTGAAGAATTTCAGAAGAAAGAGAAGTCTGCCCACTCTACAATTTTGAAAACTCTATTCCCGGTTTAAATAAGTACACCGACGCCGCAAAAAATATCTGGATTATGGCGCAAAAGAAATAAAATATGTCAAAGGAGGTGTCGCACGCCCACCCGGCGACACGTCGTAGCAAATGGTTAATAACTATTGGGGAAGCCTCCAGAAGACAGTACTCATAGAAAAAGACCGCCACGTAAGCACCACCCACTTCTTCTTTCTTATTATCACAGCACGCTTTCACATTGAGTCGTAATGGTTCACGAGGCCATCCGACGACTAAACTTCGTTGAGCTCGCGTCATTCTTTCTGTCCTGGAGCACCAAATGTTCCTCAAACAACAGGGAAGATTTTGATGCTTATTGAATAGTGGAAGGCATTAATGAAGTTCCATCACCGATAGGATAATGCAATTAACATGAATGGGATCTTTCTTCACACATTCCAACACAAACGATTCCGGTGCTTATTGGTTGTAGGTCCGCCGCGGTCTAGAGCTATAATGATCAGGGTGGTTGTGCACTGGCTGTTACTATTCGTTCACAGAATATAATGAACAGCCTTCCGCCCTTTTTTCATTTAGTCTCTACAATCACACAACAACTCAAACCAATTTCTAGTTCCAGAGGACGGAACATTAGGTTCCAATTTAGTATGTGTGATTAATTCTGTTTCAAATGTGGAGCAAAATGACTTTTTTCGCCTCCCCCCCCCCCCTTCATCTAGGATGCATAGTAGCCGAAATTGGTCCGAGTAAGAGTATGATGAACTGTGCTTAAACCTTTTTTCACTTCTTCTTTCAAAACTTCTATTCTCATTGTGTTATGTTCAAGGTTGACGTGATCATATCTGAATGGATGGGATATTGCCTCTTCTATGAGTCGATGTTGAACACTGTTATTTTCGCACGAGATAAATGGCTAAAGGAAGACGGTCTAATATTCCCGGACAAGGCCAAATTGTACTTATGTGCGATTGAAGATCGGCAATACAAAGAGGATAAAATCCACTGGTTAGTTCCTACGCTGTCGTTACTTATGCACCTGGGCAACAGTCTTACTTTCAGGTGGGATAATGTTTACGGATTTAACATGTCTGCCATTCGCAAGGTTGCCATTACTGAGCCACTTGTCGATGTTGTCGATAATGCGCAAGTAGTAACCAATAATTATTGCATCAAAGAGGTAGAGATTGTCTCGATCAACGGTTGCCGAATATTAAAAAGCAGTTGAAGTAATATGTTTAAAGATCGATCTCTACACCGTCAAGGTCGAAGATCTGACGTGGAGTTCAGACTTCCAGTTGCGCTGTGCCAGAAACGACTACGTCCAAGTTAGCAGATTTCTTCTCTGGCGAATATTATGAATACTATTGTTAGGCTGAGAAATGACTTTTAGGCACTAGTCACCTTCTTCACAGTCGAGTTCTCGAAGTGTCATAAAAGAACTGGATTCTCAACGGGACCAGATGTTCAGTACACGCACTGGAAGCAGACTGTTTTTTATCTCATGGTGTGTTTTAGATCATTGTTCACTGCGTTAGATTGCCAATGATGCCAAAGACTTTTTTCTTAGGATGCGCTTACCGTGAAAAAGGGTGAAGAAATAACAGGCAATTTTTCTGTGACACCGAATGCCAGGAACGAGCGTGACCTCGACTTCAAAATCAAGGTTGGTTTCTTCTTGTCGAGTAGGACATCATGGCTATTGTTATTTTTCGCTAGGTTTCAATCATTGGTACTTCAACACGCATGCGTCGTCCTGTACATCATCCAGTCCTTTTTGCCAACTTAATATTTCGTTTAATGAAAGTGAAAGGGTTCGGACGAAGTCAACTTGGCACAAAGATTTTAGAAAGGGAATCGTTGTGATGTTTTGGATGCTTTATACCTCCCACTAATTCCAAAGGTATAAAGTGTAAGATGGAGTGGCCTTTCGAGTTGCTTGAATTTGTCAAAGCTGTTTCTCATCCGAGCCCGTTCCTGTCCTTCCTCCAAGGGGACGCGTCCCCCCACCGCTGATCTTTCCTATGGGAGGCAGGGTTGCGTCGTAGGTTCAAAAGTACTCGGCGTTTCTAGATTTCAGAAAGCGCGACTCCCTAGAGAAAAGAGTGGTTCAACGGGCTAGAATAGTTGCAACATCGCGCGTTCAATGGTGGATCCTGTGACGCAACCCTGTCTCCCCCAAGCTTAGGATAAAATCAGCGGCGGAGAACGCGTCCCTTTAGGGGAAGGATACGGCCCCTGTTGCTCTGGGCATTGCCGCATTATTTACCTGTGCAATGGTCGGAACTTAAGAATGTCCTTCATCGAAACATGGGAGCGTAAGAGGCGAAACGCAAGGGATTCGTGACTCAGTGGTCCACTGAAGTGTATAGACGTGGTTGGGAAACAAATCACGAAGACATCCCTCTCACCTCACGTCTGTGCTGTTGCTGTTATTTTCAAAAAGCTGGAGAATCGTTTCGAGGCGCTTTCATTTTGTATTGGTAAGAGGAGATGGTGCCTCTCTCCGAATTCTCGGTTGCGAAGTAGTCAGAGTAAGCTCTAGCGTTGCCGTAGTGGCAACGCTAGAGCTAGCTCTCACCAGGAAGGTCTTTCAGGGCGTGCCGAGCTTTTTGAAAACGGTCTTTTGCATGATATAGGGGCACATGCGGGAACCACAGAACCATGGTTAATTTTTCCTGAACGGCCCTCTGAATACCAGAAAAGGGGTCCCTAGTTCGATTCCTCGTGGTGACAAATTTTTGCATTTCGAGTTGACGTTCAAAATTCGCGCAAAATGGAGTTAGCATGAATAATTAGTACCATATTCATGATTAGGACCGTCAGTAACCCTTACAAATAGACTTTGATTAAAAAACTGGTGAAAAAGGTGTGACACCACAGTGGGGCTGCTTGGTGTCACACCTCTTACACCAATTTTTAAGTCAAAGTCTTTTTGTAAGGGTTACTGACGGTCCTAATCATGAATATGGTACTAATTATTCATGCTAACTCCATTTTGCGCGAATTTTGGAACGTCAACTCGAAATGCAAAAATTTGTCACCACGAGGAATCGAACTAGGGACCCCCTTTTCTGGTATTCAGAGGGCCGTTCAGGAAAATTAACATGGTTCTGTGGTTCCCGCATGTGCCCCTATATCATGCAAAAGACCGTTTTCAAAAAGCTTGTCACGCCCTGAAAGACCTTCCTGGTAAGCTCTCGCTAGAGCTAGAGTAACGAAAACTTTCTTTTTCAAAAAACCCTGGTTGTGTAACAAATGTTTCAGGTGGACTTCCATGGAGATGTTTGCGAGCTTCGCGAAGAGAATGTTTATACAATGCATTAAGACCGGCACCAATTTACCTGAAGCCTGGCGTAATATTGCTTGAGTCTTTATGTTCACTTCCTAATCCTTACTTCTTTGTATAGAAAAATCAGATACGCAAGACTGACGTGTTGCTTCTGTTGATCTTTTTACATTTGATCGTCATCGTTAGCAAATTCGGCGTGTTGTTGTTAAATCGTTTTCCGCGCGCCTTGAGCACTTAAAATGATTCCTTCTTAGCACTTTGACAATCCAGGTGTGTTGCCGGTAGAAAAAGTCTAATATTCTTTGTTTTCACACGTATCTTGCCTGGAACATGTGTAGATTTCGTGGGACTGCAATTCACATATTTGTGTTTGTGGATGTTTTCAGCAGAGTTGGAGTTGATAGGCAATAATGGTGTCGTGCGAGTTGGTCTTCTTTCTTGTTTCACATGTGTGTGCATTCTGCTTCGTTATTTCCAGGGCTGTGTATGCAAAGTACAGCTGCCTGAGTGTTATATTATCGTTATGAAAAGATTTTCATTGAATTGTTTGTGAGAGGATCTGATTGGTGAAACAATCCATTCGAGGGAATACTGATTATTGTTCGACAGTTGAGAAATGAGAGCGTCAAATTGGGGTGGCCATGCGATATTTGTGTTTTTTCATCAATGCTTTATATACAGTGTCAAGGTAAAGTTGTGGTTGTTACACCAGATCGTTCCCCGTACCAAGATCAGTGCAGCTGCATAAATTGACGTGGCATGGATCAAAAGTATCTGAAGCGCGTGTGATATCAACTTTTCATTGAGAATTTGACCATTGATTGACGAAGATTGATGAGAAAACATCGTGCTCGATGCGAGAGACAAAGTATCTAGGCGAGTTCTGGTAGGGTGCGCAATGGTAGAGGTGACGTGAAGAGGGTTTACAAAAATGGAAAATTATCTGTCCAAGTAAGAAGGAAGGGGGAGGGGGGTGCGGTGTCGGTGTAGCGGTTTCTAGACTCTCGAGTGTTCTGAACTAAGATCCTCTCTTATTGAAATAGCAATCCAGCCAGTAGTCGAGAAAAATTTTGTATTTCACGAGGTAATTGCGGGTGAGATCGTCGTAACGATGGCAAGGTTAGGCAATCTCTCTATTTTTGAGATTCAACAATATGGCTGGCTATGAGATTACTTCCATCAGGGCCTTTGTGAGCAGCAATTCCTTATCCGTTTTCACCTTTTACATGTGACTAATATTGAAAATAGTCGCGATAGCCAGTATAAAAGTTGGGGTAGGCATGTCGCCAGAACGACGTGGCCATCGCCGCACTTGATAGAAGCTGTGTGGATAAGCTGCTTCCAACATAGCTGGATATCAGCAAAGCATGCTGGCAACAGCTTATCCACGCAACTTCTATCAAGTGCGGCGGCAGTCACGTCACTTCCGGTGACACGCCTACCCCAACTCTCGATATCGACTGTATAATACCTCGAGAACGGAAGCTGGCTAAAGGAAACAGTCACGATAAACTCCATGCAGAGAAAATGCAGAGACGAGAGTGGCGCTTCACGGGCAGTGGTGCCTCATCAGTGGCAACTCTAATGTTGACCCTTTTCGTCAGTGATGTGAGGATCTCTTGTCCACGTCGAAGCCAGGGGGACCGCTTCTGTAAAGAAGTTGCAAGTGACGCAACTAGTAGGCCGCGTTCATAGTTTGCGGTCTTGCGCTTTTCTGCGGAAGTGGATTTGTGTCCACATTGAAATCGCGTCGGTCGCAGGATTGAAAAAAGGCATGATTGATACGTATCCGTTTCTCGGAAAACTGGGGATTGTTGAGTGCTTGCTGTGCAGAAAATCTGGTAAATAATAGAGTATCCTAGATGTATCCCTCCGGCTCGAGTACATTCACTGGCGGACCCGGTGTCGTGCGAAAGGGCGCGGATATTTCACTGGAAGGAGTCAATGAGTGGAAGATACAAGAGATTGGATACGATGGAGTAGAAAAATATATCAAGTAAGCGTCTAGCAGTCTATATTATTTCCTTTATTTCTATCTACGTATTGCCGTCAGCTGCCGCTCGAAGAACCGCGATGGCGATATGAGGTTCGATGAAAAGCGGTTTCGCAGTTCACGTTCACCGTCCGGTGCAGAACTCAGGGTTCACGCGAACATTTCGAACGAGGAAAGGGGTGGGGTTGAAGTCGTGTTTCGCTCATGGAGTGGGCGTCGTGAATCAAGGGCTCGCGGCGACATCATCACTAATCGGTGGAGGATAAAATTGTCAGAATACGTCAGTTGTGAGAAAACGAAATTTTATAAGCCTAGGCTTTCATCACAACACGCTAAGCATCAGTATGGTTGGCATCGCATGTCATAGCAGGGGAGATAGACTTTTTAATGCATTAGCAACTTTCAACCGCAGGCACGTGCGCAACGCATACAAAAGCCAGAATTTTGAACAGCGGTCTCTTTGGAACGCTTTCAGTAATTGAAAACCTACTCATGGTGTTCGATAATGCCTTATTAATTCACATGGATCGTTTCGAAATGTTAAAAATAATTGTTGCAAGCTAAGAAACGAAAGAAAACTCTGAAAACCTAAGAAAAAGTCCCAGCGGGCGAATTTTTCAAAAACAATTTTTGAAGAACGGTTATAAGCTTGTTAGAATGTAGCCAGTGCTTTCTTGCTACACTGAAAATTACTACAGAAACGAAAATGGAAATTATGATCACTGAAAGTCTAAAAAAACCCGCATTTGCGCGAAAAGAAGCAAACGAGCGATTTTCTCTGGAAAAACAAAGGTCTAGAAAGTTCTCGGTTCATGAGAAGGAAATCATGCGAACTTTCTGATTCTTTTTACACTTTTGTTTAGAATTTTGAATCTCCGACTTTCTTGCGAGGCTACGTGATTCCGGCATCTCGCCATCTGTACATTGCTGACCATTATCTCTTGATCTTCTTCGGAATCACTAGGCTCCGCACACCAGTGTACCTGGCGGGATGCTTTGGTCGGGAATTTCCTCGTCCGACATACTTTGGGTAGGTGCCCAGGTCGTGAACACAATTACAGTACGCTTTACTCTTGAAAAAGCATTGATTCGCTATATGTCCATGACCACCGCATACCTAACGCTGCTGCGGTCCACCGGGCGGAACTCGGGTTTGCCTTTTTACAGTTCTACTTTTGCTCCTAGCCTCTATATTACTTGGACTTGCTTTCCGGACTGAAATGCGCTCCCGTCTTTCCGCCCTTGCTCGAGAAGGGAGTTTCGGTCCTCTTGGTGCAATAGCTGTAACTCCTACTTCAGTGAGTCCTTGCTGTAGGTGAGGTGCATTCTTACCGACTCTTGCATACGCCACTTCCAAAACTTCTCTCGACGTTACCTCCTTCTCGAGCAACCGCTTCCTAGTTTCTACAGATGCCAACCCACCTATGAATACCATTGCTACCATCGTATCGCGTATATCCTTGACCTTCTCGAATCCGCATGTGCTGGCAGGCCTTCTGTAGTTCCGCGTAATATTCCTGCAGGGTTTGGCCCGCTTTCTGCGACTTCGACATGAGCGCGAAGCGCTCCGCCATGAGCAGCTTCTTTGGTTGAAACTGCTGCTCCATTGCCTGTTTCAGCTCCACCAGCGTAGCTGTTTCTGGCTCTTACCCTGCAATAAGGACTCTAAGAGTTCATAATTCGAAGCCCCAACCTCTTGGAGAAAGATGAAACTATCGCCTTCATCTTTTACTCTCCGCAAGGCCAGAAAATTTTGGAAGAGCCTCCATCCAGGTATTCCAGGAAGTCCCCGGCACATATGGCCCTGGGCTCCGGCCTCGATAACATCGAAAGCCGTGACGGGGTCTTGGCCTGCCGGCGAGACCTCTCCCACTCACACTATCCTGGAGAATGCCCCTAGAATACCGCCCTTGTTCTCGTCCGTTTCTGCAGTTCGGGTGGACCGCTTCTTCTGGCGACCTCCTTGTTCTTGTTATCTTTGCTTGAGTTGATCGGCCTGCTCAGCTCCTTGCTTGGGACTCCTCCTCGTTGCTTGGGTTGCTCGGGCTCCCTGCTTCCTCTCCGCGGACTTCGTCTTGTGATCGCCAGTGAGACGGCGTGGAGACTGGTATGAATGTTTATTCGTACTTCGACATCCCTTTTATACCCTACTATCACATCCTTCGTAATCATCTTCATTCTTCTTTATCCTCACGGCCTTCGGTGTCCTTCTTTCCAGCTGTTCTATCGCCCTAAACCGGTCTAACCATCCTCCCGTAACAGCATTTGAAGGGCCCGCTTGTGCGCTCTCACGCAAGAGTCACAATGCGTTACACTGACAGCACTGGTGCACCACGAATTGACTTTAACTGATTTGTAACTGTAACAAGGGGGTTGTATCGAGATTCCCGTGAAAGGGAAGGGGGTGGTGGAAATTTTTTTGAAAAAAGATGAACGCGACGGTAGCACCAGGTGGGCCTCAGGAACTGACCGAGAAGTTACTTGTTGAATGGGGGGGGGGATGCGGAGGTTTAGCCAAAGCTGCTTTTCTTTAAATGGTTAATTACGATACGATATTGGGTTCATTTCCAGACCTCCTTCATTTTCTGACAATGTTGGGAAATTGGCACGACAGGTGGACTGGAAGAAGTTGATAGGTTCGGATGCGCTTTATGACAACCCAAATTCAATAAAGAGTGAAAATGAGGACGATGAGGTGAGCCAGTATTTGTTCTGCAGTTCTTTTTTCAGTGTATGTACAAAAATGAAACTTTCGGAAATTTGTTAATGTAAGACTGTACCTAGCAATGGTTAACTCATTAGAAGCTTTTATCGATCATTTGTGTCTGGAAAGTTACTAAAGATGACGGATCAAGACTTGAGAACAGTCATGTGGGCACTGCTATTGAAAGGAACAGGCGGCTGAGTGAGTTAACCAATGCATTTCCTAAAGGAAGAGGGAACGTGGTAAGATTGACTCTTTGTATCTGGATCTAAGGGGAAACTTCCTTGAGGAGGGTTGAGGAATTATTGGAGGATCGTCACAGAAATGATTTCCCATAAAAAGAGTGTTTGCGAAGCTTTATATGAAGTCTATCGAAGTTTCACAAACTACTCTTAGGGGAATAGTTGCTTGAGGTGGTTACCCTGCTGACCACTCAACACAACATGAACGCGGTTAGGTACATTATGTCCTTCCTAAGTGTAAGAGTATGTATTGATGGAAAAGTGCTAACTGGTGCTCAATTATTCTAGACTGTTGAAAAGAAGTCTGTTGAAATTGAAGAGCGCGTTGTACCAGAAGCAGGTCCTTGGCATGGTGTGGCCAAAGTATTTACAGTAAGTAAATTCCTCGATTATGTTCCGTAAATATCTGTCTGTAAATTTAAAGTGTTTTTGCTTTGAGTAGGTGTGATTTAGTGAGTCACTTCAACAGTTCAATGTTCTTCTTGACAACCTTGCAATCATGCGGGCTACTGATTACATGAAGCCGTTGACTATTCTCGATCCAATTCATGCGGAGTCAGCACCGATGCAGACTGAAAATGCCGCGGCAAGTAAAGCCACACAGTGGGTGTGGAAGCGAAAGGTTGAGTCGCAGATAGATTTGCTTTGTTGTGAAGATAATTGTGTATTTGATTCTGAGCGTTTTATTATACCTTACATCACCTTTCAGGCATTATTGGAAGCGATGAGTGTCCTTGAATTGGCGCAACGATTACGAAATGTTGAGGTTGAAGATGAGGTGCACCAGCAGAAAAGTCAATTCTTTATGTGCGTAGAACATCTTATTTTTCTCTTCATTTTGTGAGGAACCTATTTTGAAAAACTCGTTTCGTTTTCAGGGAGCTGACGAAAATGCGTGAGTATTGGAGGGTTAGAAAAACCGGTGATCACATCTACGGAGACCTTGGCTATCGCATCTGTAAGTATTGATGATTCTCAGGGGAAGAGATCTAATTGAAAGCATGAGGTTGTTGGCAAATATGTGTTTTCTGGGTGCTTGAATCGAGAATCCAAGGATTTGCCAAAGCTGTTCCTAAAGGTCAAAGATTAAGCCACATGAGAATTGCGTTCTTGGAAGTACTCCGAAGGAAAAGCTTTCAGCACGTTGACGGTACAGCGGTTTTTCGTGTCTTCGCCCGCATGGGATCGACCTTTTTTTCCAAAGATTCATTCCAGTACTTGAATGCAACTACACTAGAATCTGTGCCAAATTGTGTGCGTGTGCGTAACTTTAGTCTAGAATGCGTCATTTTTTTTGTAGTTTTTGAACTTAAACGTACTGCTTTGGAAAGCATCGGTATTTATCGGTCGTGGTCGATGCGTATTTTTGAGCTTGTATTTTACAAAATGCTACTGGAAGCGGTTTGCTTTAACCCTTTCGGACCTGAATTTTTTCCGTGGAAAAATTTTTCTCTAGCTATTGTTTATTACTTGTGAGCATATAGGTATCATTATGGCGAAATTTGGAAGCTATTCGATCACAAACAAAGAAACTAGGAAGCTTTGAAAATTGGCCCACCTTCTTAGTTTTTTAGCTTATGTCGAAACAATTCCAAATTTCTTAGTTATGTCGAAAAAGTTTATGATCTTGCACAACATTATATCGTTTTTGATAAGAAATTGAATATATGTCAAGTATTTTAGAAATGATTGACACTTACCTAGCGGCTTGCTGAGACCAGCGCCGATTCATTGTTGCACTTGTACACAAATACTTGTAATGCTAACAGCAACACACAATAAAATGGCAGGCTCAAAGCATAATTAGGAAGGAAGGTCGTCTGTAGTAATCTCTACAGTGGGTAGTAGAAATATGCTGTTGCAGCGGTAATGCAGACATTTGAATTTGATTGTCGCACTTCCACCGCCAGGTCAGAAGGGGTTGAGTAAAACATTCAGTAACCTGATGCCAGCTGCCTTTTTTCTTGAGATAGCTAGGATAGGATAGCTTTATTTATCCGCGGGACCTGGGGAACTCACAACGAGAATCTCATTTCGCGTTGAATACCTTTTTACTATCATTTAGTTGGCTCCAAGTATAACCCGCGGGAACTGTTCGATATAACAAGAATATCGTTGCCTCCTGGAACTTCAATCGATGCAAACACAACTGTACTGCAAGTGAGCAACTTTCCTTGAAAGCTAGTCTTTTGCCTGATGTAGCTTGCCTGGTATTCTTCCGATCTCTAGTGGTTGCATTTCATTTTATCAGGATTATTTCGGTGTTCATTTGGGGATCTTGTAAGGCCATAAAATTTTCATTGAAGGTGACCGTTCCTCGTGACCTCACTCGTCGCTCTACGTTGTCTGTATCAATAGTTAAAGGTAAGATCACATTATTTCCTGACGATCCTTTAATTTCACTGCATTTAAATTTAGATGATTACACTAATCCGTGATTTGTTCGCTAGTTTGGACGATCATCAGTTTGAATACATGAAAATAGACAACAGTAAAATTGAGTCTATTCATTGGAGCGATGCTCTCAAATGGGCTCAAGAAACTCTGATATGCAAGGACATTTTCAACACTGTGAGTGCTTCCACCATTTTTCTCATTTTTTCCTGGCATGCAGTTCCTGATTGCATCAAACTATTGCACCAAAGTATGGCCTCTTTTAACTCTGCGAGCGTGATGTGCTTCAGTGTTGCTCAAAACAAGTTTCCTTTGGAGTATGCGAAGAGTGGTTTGACCTATTTGATTTCTTCACTGATCCAACACATGTAACTTGCCCATCGATTTCTTTATGGAACCTTTCGCTAAAACGTTTAAATAATTGATATTTTATTATGACTTTACCAGGGATTCTCCGCTTTGCGAGCACTGCCATTGGTCACCGATGACAAGCGTTTTCTGGTACCTAGTTTTCTTTCAGGGTTGGTCAATCTGCCGCTTCACCACCAAATTAGAATCAATTGCTCTTCTGCTATCTCGAATTTGAGCTTTTAAGTTGCCCAGTCAAATTTTAATGAGTAAATTTAGCTGTGCTCCGATGCTGTTCAAATGCGAAGTCGCTTATCTACCATTCGGGATGGAGTGCTGCTTGTTAGTCTATATAATGACTACCTTCTTCGAGTTGAGCTCAAATACTATCCATTCAGGGCGAGTTGTTTTTTTTTGTTCCAATAAGCTCAATGAAACTCTCCATCCACAACATTTCTTTAATCGGTGCTTAGTTTTTTTTTGAAATTCCGTTTTTCATTTTCCTCATGTTCTCAACGCTTTTCATGCATCCTATGAGCAAGCCGTCATAATGTTGCGTGTCAATGACATCCTTCTCGTATGATTTATGATCTTCTCTAATTCAGGAGGGAGATCTACCAGAAGAAGGATGCCCATATTTGAATCGATCACTTCGCGAAATGATGGTTGCACAAGAGTGCACTCGGTGGGTACGCCCGCAAGCCTTTGTGTCTCTGCCATTGACAAATCTCAGTGAAGCACTTGATGCTCGTGGACCAAGAGCATTTACGGCACGAGAGGTAATCGCTGATCAAGGAAATCAAACTTGATTCTTGCAACAGTACGATTTTTTATAATCGTCTGAAGTTTTTGGTGTTAACCCTTGTTTAATGTGCAACCAAAGCGTAGAGCAAAAATAGGCAAAAATATAGCTTGCTAGAAATCAAAACCAATTCGACCGCAGCAGACACTTGGCATGGTAGGCTAGAATCACTGTTGACCACTTCCGAAGCGATTCTTTTGTTAGTTACTATATGAGCAGTGATCCACAGAAGGAGGAGGAGGCAGAAAAAAGGAACTTCTCACCTTGCGTATAATTCTGAATTAGTCATCCTCCGATAAGCGCAAACTCGATGTTTTCAAATGAACATTGAACAAGACATTCGAATCTCTTGCACTTCTTCAAAATACCCTCCCAAATACCTGGGCGCCTTTAGAACAATCTGGCACGGGAAAGCGTCCTCTTAGAGTTTATGGCAGTGGCGGATGAATTCATATTTTGAAAAGGCAAGGCCAGTGAACAAATACTTGCTTCTGTGGAGAAAGGGAGTATTGCAATGCATTGCAGTATGGCAATAGAGGAGTATTTAGCCGCAAGACTTCTATCAACAGCGGCACTATGCGCGAAGGAAAGTTCGCTGATTTGTGTCATGAGCTGAGAGTTTTACGGCCCTACCCCTTATTAATCATAACTATGCGCAAGAAACGACGCTCAAGTGCGCACTGCGTTGAAATGATTTATATTAGATTCAGTGTTTATATGAGCAGGAGTGGATATTATGTGCGATGACAACTGAGAGTGCAAGGGGATTCCATAATGTAATTTTCTATGTAAATGTATCATCATGGGGTCATAACCTGTGTACGATTAATCGTAGGCCAAGGCTTATCTCTTTTAGATTGAAAGTCGTGCCCATAAACCCCAGTTTTTGCTCGAGAAGCTGATCACTGTCGCTTCACATTACTCTCTCGTCGAGATGGCCCGCAAAACGTTGGAGGAGTTCATGACGTTGACACGAGATCCTCAGGTGTGTCCACGCTTCAGTGTTTCATTTCCCTAAAGAGTTATTTTGATTTCGGCACGTCTTTAAATACATAGTCGGGCGTAGGGTGTAGTGATAAGGAGCAGCGCTAAAATTCTGTTCAACCGACTATCAGAATCATTTAGCCTCTCAAATCTTTCTGAGACTTTTGGTTGCCCTTTTTGGAGGTCGCATCTCCATCTCTGATTTGTTGGATGAACATTTTTCAGTACAGCTCACTTTCGCGCATGAGGTCTCGGTTGTTGGACGTGTGAAATTTCCATGTCAAAAAGTTTTTGAAGTAGTTTCTCACAGGTCCATTGGCGATGGTTACGATGCTCACCCATCAGTTCACAATTTATGGTCGTCCTAACCAACAGGAATTTCGATTACGTTGTCGGAAAGTGAGTGAAAGTGGTTTTTATGAGGCAGTCTGGATTGATCTCAAACTTTTCAGAGTCACTTATTACATTCGAGTCAGCGCCGACTCTATGTGTTTGATTTCCAAAGATGGCCATAGTATGGAGTGCTATCGTGATGCTAACCAGTTGATGTACGCCCTAAAATACATGGTACGGTCTGAATGTTATCGCTTCCCTATTCAATTTTCAGCTCAAGCTTACAAAGGACACACGATGCCTTGTGAAAAAGAAAAATTAATTTATTTCTCAAAAGGATAATAATGGATTAAGCATTCGCCGTTGGTGAATGGCCGATGTCAGACTCTGCGATTGGAGCGATTGGTCATGATGGACTCATGTCAATCGCGCGATGGTCGCGCGATTGACATTTGACCGATCGCTCCAATCGCAGAGTCTGACATCGATCAATCCCTTTTTGGGATGCGGCACGCATTCTACTTCCATTTGTACATTCGTAGTGGCGTTTGAATGCGATGTGGCCTATACAATGACTTGCGGGGGCCAGCCGATGTACAAGTCAGTGTTTTTATCCTCCCAGACAAGTCTGGTACCAATTAACCGACCCCGGAGGGATGGAAGGCTTGGTTGGCCCGGGCGACTCACGACCCAGGATTTGATCCCCGGACCGCTCGCGTGGTAAGCGTGCCACTTGCCACTACACCACTTCCGCCCTAATTCATTTCTATGCCAGGAATTAT